GCTGGGTTGGGGCGCGAGCCGAGTTGAAGTGTCTCGTGAATAACGGAGCGGCCGGGTTCCGGCGGGAGTCGCCTGCGTCATCAAACGGCCGGCCGCCGCCGCCGCCGACCGTGATCACTAGCGAGCCGCACCCGCCCGGCCGGCGCCGACCGCTCCCGGCGGAGACGGCGGCGTCCGTGCACTGGGGCAGCCCTCCCGGCCAGCTCGACACGCGAATCGGCCGTCGGGGCTGCGGCCGGGCCCGGCAGCCGCTGCCGCCTCCCGGACCATCCCGACCGACTCCGGCGGCGGCGGCAGCGGCCGCAGGATGTGTCCCATTCAGCCAGCCGGAGCCGGTCGCAGATCTAATAGACCGCGCCCGCCAGCCGCGCCCCCCACAACGGGACGCGTGGCTCCGCCGGGCCAGCACCGCCAGGGCCAAGCCGCACGGCCGGGCTACTGCGCCACCGCACCGGGCGGGCGGCACGGACATCCTGTCCTGTTCTGCGACACAATGTCCGTGTGCGGCAATGCCTGGATGGGACGCGGAGAGGCCAGAGACGGGCGGGATGCATGCCAGTCACGCCGCCTGCAGCCACGCAAGTGCCGGGGCCAGACTCGGCGCCATTTATACTTCCGGCACCTCACGAATATTTTACGGACACTTTCCAAGTCCAACATTCACAATGCAAACCCACAAGGCAATGCAGAAGCCACGGCGCGGGGATGCCGGCCGCACAGCCTAGTTGCTCACTAGTTTCACGGTGGGTTTTCGCCGAACCTACGCTGAACCGCGGGATTGCGCAGCGCTGCGGCGAACAATCAGGCCCAGTGTTCCGACGCTGGATCCAATTGCAGACCGCCAATAGGCCGACTCGCTGGATGCGCCATTCCCGGGAAGCGTCGCACCGCCGCCGCTCCGCACTCCCGGCCGTGCCAAGTTCGCGGCCTGCGAGTTTCCGTCGTCTCCTCCGCGGCCGGCGGCGCCGGCGGCCGCGGCATTCATCGCCAGCGCATTCCAGCCGGCCGACGGCTTCGGCAGCCCGGCCCGCAGATGGCGGCCGCGTATAAACGGGCGCCGCCGCGGCGCGCCGAGCCCACGTGGCGCCGAGCCGGCCCCGTCCGCACCGGCGACAAACAGACGGCGCGGGCGGGCCGGCCCCGACGCACGCCGCCGCCGACGGGGTGACGCGGCGGCGGGCTGCCTGCTGGCCGGCGGCCACCGACCGGCGTCACGCCGCCCGCCTCCGCCGGGTCAGCGTGACGTCACGGCGGCGAGTAACGGCAGCGGCGGCGGCGGGTCGCCGGGTCCGTGGCGGTCATGTTCCCAGCCGGGCGGCGGACGCGGCACACGCCGCCGCACGGTCTGCGGCCGGCGGGTGACGCCCGGCGCATGGACCGACCTCAAACACGACCAGAAATGCGGAGTCTACGGTGAGAGAGCGCCCGTGCACCGAGCGTGTCCAAACAGTGGAAAGCCGGGCCCTGTGCGTGTCAGAGCTCCATGCATTCCGTTCTGCCACGCGTTGGTCCCCGAGAGCTGCTGACCGCTGAATACAGTCCAGCCGTGTTAAGCCCGGTGACAAAGCGGCTGGCGCACTGCATATGGGATCTTGCGAGGCACGCGATTGCTAGCAGTCGGCGGCGCGAGACCGAGACTCCCACCGACCGCTGCCAGTGATGTGACGCCGCCAGTCACAGCGGAAGGTCGGCCGTTGCCGGCGGTGCCAGGCTCCCACCGGACAGTCGACCGTTGCCGGCGCTGTGACGCTCGGTCTCGCAACAGACGACGGCCTCTCGCTGCCGGCGGTGCGAGGCACAGCTGTGTGGGCCCATATTAGCCTCCCGACTTTACGAGATCAATTAGGGAAATAATTTCACACACGTTATGCATGCAGCCCACAACTGACGAAAAACTTACGGATCTCAGCTTACGTATGTTTTTAACTGGATCCGCAGGGTGGGAGGAAAGAGGCAACTCATTTCGCAAGTTACGAAATTCGGCACTTACGGAAACAATGGGAACGTGGATTTACGTCATAAAATTACCACTTTCCGTCGATTGTAATCCTGCTCCTGGCCGTCAGCAATCGTGCTGCAACCAGCTGTTTGGGACTGCCGTAAACACCCGACCCTGCCGACCGCGCTAGCTAGACAGAAGCCTCTGTTCCCAGCTGGAAAACAGCCATCACGCGCCCATCTCGTGCTGCACAAACCGGATAAATCTGGCCGGGGCCACTCGGCGCCGGCACCCGTTCCACTCAGATCCTATTTGCTCTAATGTGGTCGACATCCATCAGCGGCAAGGCCTGTTGTTTTCTTGTCGAATCCAACGAGTCGTTCCGCGCCGCCGATAAAACTCGACTTTTATGTCGTCTCATCACATCACTAGCAGCCTCCCATAACCCAGGACTACACCGGCGTCTTTACATCGCTAGTCCTGTCGAGCGTTTGGCGGACGCGTTCGCCCATTCCATGACCAACCCCATTGCCGCACCTTGCCGGCACCATCCCGGCCAACGAGCAGCCGTCCGCGGCGTTCGGCACCTCAGCGGCGCGGCCGGCGCCGGCGTCACGTGCGCGGCTCCATTCAGCACGACCGCGGCTCCGAGCACGACCGCCGTCCGTGACGTGACGTCCGGCGGCGGCCGGGGCGGTGGCGGCGACGGCCGGAGCGCGTCGCCGCCGCCGGCGCCCGCTGACCGACATACGCCGGCTGCGGCGCCACGCCGGCTCCGCGCCCTGACGTCCGCCCGGCCGCCGCCGCCGCGTCCGGTCCGCGGGCGACACGCGCCCGCCTGCGCCCCGCCGGCGGCGCCGGCACAGGGCGGGGAGGGAAAATCACGCCTGCGTCACCGCCCTGAGCCCGCCGGTAGGCCGAGCCGGGTCAGAACTGCGCACTGCGCGGCGTCGGCGGCGATTAGACGGCACGCATCAGCGGCCCGGCCGGCGCGAACACGCCCCACCGGCCACTGACAGCGTCCGATTACGACTCTCACGAGTGGCGTCGCCACGAGGAGCGCCTTATCCGCCCCGGCGGCGGCTCCACCAGGCCGCGCCGCTCGCCTCCCGCGCAGATGAGTGCGGCACGCGTCTGGCGTGCGCTCCGGGCCCAGCTGGCCGTTGAAGTGGGACGGCGCGCTGAAACCGGACCGGCCCGCTTCGACGGCCAGGGCGGCTCGGTGCGCGTCGCGGGCGCCGGCCCGACAGAACGAGAGCCAGCCACCAGCAGTGCCCAGAAAGCCGAGAACGCTGCCGCCCCGCCGAGCGCCGGGAGCACGCACTCTCCCGCCACGATCGGAGAAAGCGCGCCGTGCCCACGACCGCTGCTCCGCCGCGACAGCCGGCGGCTACACGGCCGGCGCACGCTCTGGTCGGCGCCCCTCACCACCAGGCCACACAGGCTAATGGGCGGCGACGCGGAAATCCTCGTCCCGGGGAGACCGGGGCTCGCCGACTGCAGCGCAGTTTCGTCTTCCGAGGCCGAGTCCTAAGGCCGTAAGCCGGCAAAGCCACCCGGCGACACTTCCGAGTCGAGGGAGCGCGCGCGCTGCATGCGCTCGATCTTGATGGCACCCGCGCTGCAGTTTAAGGGCGCGGAGCACGGCAACATACTAATTGACCACAATATTACAGACCGCCGAGCAGAAACATAAACCTCCAAACAGTCTCGCAGCGCCATCTACGGAGAAGGCACGCAGCTGTTACTAGAAGAAGGCCGCTGCTAGGTGGCAGCACTACCAACCAAAACACGAGCCAAAAACCATGGAAGCAGACTCGTACCAACATCACAGCCGCGCTTCAAACGGACACCAAAGCCAGTGTCTGGCTCGGCAACGCTGTGCGTGCTATGTTTAGTCGGTCCAGCAGTTGGCCACCGCTTTTTGTAAGAAAATCGCGGTCAGGCAAGCGGGGGGGGGGGGGGGGGGGGGGGAGCGGAGGAGGGAGCGGGGCGACTGGGAACAGCGCAGGCGATGCCAGCATCTGCCGTGGCACAGCAGGGCCAAGCGCTACTCGACGCTGCCGAGCGCCCCCACGGGCGAACAGCCGCCCCTGAGCACACACCTGACCACCACGGCGCGCCGGCGGCCACCCCGCGCACCGACCCCGGCGCTGGACCAGCGGCGCGGCGCTACCTCTGGAGGCCAGCTGCGGCGCGGCCGACGGCCGGTCGGCGGCGCGGCACCTGAGGCCGCGCCTAATGCGGCCGGCAAGTCCCGGCAATTAGATCTGGCGGGCGGTCGGCGCGCAGGCCGCGGCATTATCCGCCGCTTCCGGGCGGCGTGAGCGACGCATTACGGCGGCGGCGGTCAGCGCGGCTAAAAATGGCAGGCGATGGCTGGCGCGGGCGTCTCCCGGCTGTGTGGCACGGCCGGGCAGAGACGAGGCCGGCGGAGGACCGCCGGGGCTCCGGGCCGGCGCCGGCGGACCTGGTCAGTCTCGCCAGCGCTCCGCTCCGCTGACGACTCGCTTCAGGTGAGACTGACGCCGCCGCGTCGGGCGCCCGCGACACATGCGACCGGCCGACTGCGAGTGACGCCTGGCTGCCTGCCGGCGCTCGTGACGCGCGCCACGGCAGGCGTCCCAGGCCTCGGACGTGACACGCTCCCCACGGCAGCCGTCTCAGGCCTCGGACGTGACACACGCCACGGCAGCCGTCTCAGGCTCCGGACGTGACACGCGTCACGGCAGCTGTCTCAGGCCTCAGACTTGACATGCTCCCCACGACAGCTGCCTCAGGCCTCGAACCGCTCGCCGCTCCGCGGCGACGGCGGAGACCGGGACTTCTGCGCACTAGTCCATGAGCGCACAGCGGAGAAGTCCGACGGCATCCGAGATGCGACGCCGCAATGTCACGCTTCACTCCCCCGCGTGGCTGGGAGAAGTGTCCGACGACTGCAGTCTGCACAACTGCACCGCACCTCCAGCGTCACAACCCCCACCGCCGCCGTTCACACACATGTCTCGCCCAGCCCCTCCCCTCCCCCTAGCCGGCTACGCCTGTACGGCCAGCCGCTTACCTTGTTGGCTTTGCCGACGGCCACATGGTCCGTGGTGAGCGTCTCGGGCACCGTCTGCAGCGGGGTCCGCATGGCGGTGCCAACGGACATGACGCGCGTGCACTCGAGCTGCGCGCCGCTGCCGTCAGGCGGGCTGGACGCCGTCCATGGCGGCGGCGGCGGGACGCTGGGCGCGCTCGGCCCGATCAGCAGGGCGGCGGCAGCGGCGGCAGCAGCGGCGGCGGCGCCGGCCGGCCGTGCGGCGGGCCCAAGCGGCGAGGCTGGCGGCTGCCGGCGCGGCGGAGGGGCGACGGTGGGCGGCGCGGTCCGTCGGTCGTCGGAAGAGCCGGGACTGCAGCGAGGGGCGCGGGTCAGGCACCGGCCGGGCAGGCGGCCTCCACCGGCCCCGCAGCTGACGCGGGGCCGGTGGAGGCCCTGCTCGTAGGGATGTGCCGCTGTGTCGACCGGGTCACCTCGACAGCGGCAGAGCCATAAGGGGAGGGGGGGGGGGGGGGGGGGGGGTCGTGGGGTCCACTATTGAAGGTAATGCCGCAATGTGGGGTTCAGGAAAATTATTTGGCTTAACATCTCATTGAATACTAAGGCAGCGGCACACCCGCCCAACAGCGGTAATTTAGTAAACAGATCAGCGGATAACGGAGCGGATATGCACCGGTGGGCACCGGAGCCAACTGTCCTAGGCTCCATGGCAAAACAGCACTGACGGCCCATCGATACGTTAGCTACTTTACACATCGGCGCGTGGTGTCTGCCGTCTGTGCAAAGTGCGAAGTCACTACGGGTGGGGCTGGGACTCGAACTTCTAAAAAGTCCTAACCCCCGGTCGCAAATCTCGGTAGCCACCCTTTCCCCGGTGCCCAATCCTGGCGGCGCTCCTGCAAGTCAGGGCCAGTTCGCGACAGAGACGAATTGTCAGACAACCACAGAGTCTATGTCCGGATCGGATAAGGTCAGTGGCAGGGTAGAGGGGCGGCGGGTTGATGCAACACCATGTGTGCAGGTGCGAACCTGGAAATCTGCGACAGAATCCCCACGCGTTAGGACACAAACAAGCAGTCCAGGTCCGGGTCAGATAACGTCAGCCATCACAAGGCTGCCCGTGGTTGGACCCAGTCGACCCGGTATTGGCGTAGAGCCGCACAGGCCGGGTCTGAACTCAGCTGAGTCAAACCATGTGCTAGCAAAACCAGCGTCGGGAGAGTCTGACTCGGGCCGGATCAAGAGATGGTACATGTACCAGTACTCCACCACAGTGGCCGAGTCGGAGTCTGACAGTGTGCCGGCCGCGTCGGGAGCTGGAGAGTGTCAGAACGCCATCGCGCGGGCCGGCTCCCAGATCAACTCAGTCTAAGGCTGAGTCCAAAGTCGGCTCTGGTACACCATTGCACAGGCAGAGTTCAAGGCGGGCTGATTCGGAAGCCGATACGTGGTAATGCAACAGCTCACGGGTAAGCTTGGACGATGGATGGACCAATGAATAAATAACTGGCACAGGGTGTGTGACAAGTGTTTCACACCATTGGGATTTCTTGAGACAGGTTTCAACCAAATAACACACAACCATACAATACTTTAAAATGGTTTTGCACACCAGTGGGCAGTGAACAATTATCTACTGGAGGACAGTAAACAATCACCCAATAGAGGACAGCAAACAATTATCCACTGGATGGCAATGAATAATCATCCACTGAAGGATAAGGAACAATTATTCACTGGAGGACAGTGAACAACCATCTGGCAGAGGACAGTGAACAATTATCATGCACATCACACAACAGACTGACACCTACATACAAGACACCAATCTAGCAGGTTTTGATACCTTGGGTATATTTGTGAAATGGCAAATCTGAATCCTCTCTATTACTGCTACCACTGACTTCATGAAACTTCTTCAGAGGGAATGTAAAGGTCATCATTCATGTGTGCATGATAGTCATTAATGAGCTTCATAACACAAATTGAATACATATACCCAACTTTTATTGGTTTTGTGTTTCCAGGTGCATCAATGATAACACAAACACTTGCTGTAATACTTTATCTTCATGAATTACCTATTTGATGCAATGCTTAACAATATTCTTAAATGATCTATTTCAATGAGAAACAATGGAGCTAAAACCCACATTTAAGTGAAGGACCAGGTGAACTGTAAAGTCACCCAGCCTGTTCATCAAGACCAGGTAAAGTCATCCTATAGATATCACACTTTTTACACAAGGTTGCTCAAACAATATCACAGATATGATCTGGTGAACCATTTGGGGAAAGAGAAGGTTAGTGAGCCCAATTATTACATGCCCTACTGTTATGTGTTAAGGAGCATACAATAGACAAATCAACCCTGATGACTTTCAGCCCCAAACATGGGAGGACTTCCATTGCTCCTGGAGGCAAGGGGCCTAACATGCAGCCCATAATGACTTTGCCACACCTCCCACTGATGCATGGCATGCTACCCTCACTGACTTCAAATGGTGCTGATGGAAGTCTGGTATTCTGTGCAGAATCCTAGTACAGTGGATCATAGGTATGTGCCACCCCTTGGAGCCCATGTGCGCAGTGCCAACCTCTAGAAAAAAAATGTGCTTAACAAAAATGGCTGCAGAACATTTGAACCTCACTGATGAAATGCTCATACTGCCAGACTGCCTGATTTTGTCTTTTACTCATGTCACAGTTAAGACATGTGGCTGCTTTGATGACTCACCCTACATGGCAAAGCTACATACACACCAGCACATAGCTAAGAAGTAGTCCTCATGAAAGGTATATGTCAAATTTGGTGTACTGAATTTTGCCATCATTTTGTCCTGAAACAAGATATTTTTCATCTTGGTGGTTAACAAAAAAGGTTATCATGCATACAATAACATGTAAGTCTTGTGATTGACATAGTTCTTGAACATTAGAAATTTACAAATGATGACTTAACACCCCAAACCTACCACATAATGATGTTTCAGGTTTTATTATGAGCCAACAACTATAATCACCTGATCAATTATGGTCATTTTGCCCCCAAAACTATAACTTTGGTAGTTTCAGCATGCTCATGATTTGTCACTCAGCCCTACTATGGCACATATGGGGAAAACAATCCTGTTTCTTATCAGTCAAAATACAAGAACTTCCTCATGACAAAAACACTAAGAAACATATAACCTGCATATGGTGATGGGCCATGCACCCATGATTCACATGGGGAAGCGCACCTTTGTCTATACAACTATTTCTTTAGTTATTTCAATGAAATCACACTAAATGGCTTGAAGAGTGAATTATGCTTAAGCTACCTGGTTCAGAACCACCATGCTGTGCATTCTGAGCCCATCACCTGATCTGTGCCACCCAGTTGAAAAGATAATTTTGTGTTCACCCTTTAGCCAGATTGGACAGAGGGACAGCACAGTGCAGCCTACACATGAACAGTATCATGCTGCATCACAACCTCCCCATGCCTGCACTGACCCTTGCTGCCAATAGCCAATGGTCACTGCTTGTTAAGTTAGGAAAAACAGTGCCTATGATCTGGGACCCATGCTGCAACTAATAGATAATGAGTCCAGCAACTCTACTACATATCAGAGTTCACTATAATAGCACACACCATTTCACCACTAGATGTGCAAGCAGTTGAAACAGGTACAGATTCATCCAGATCCAGCACATGGTCACTGCATCAATGGCTGATGATTGATTTTGACTTTACATCACTTTCTTAAGCTAGTATTTCACATAGAGCTGCTTACAAGCACCACCAATCTATTCCAATGCCCCTTACATAGGTGGCTTGTTACCTTTCAGTTGGGAAAATTCATTTTTGTGATAGGTGATAACTACAAGTACTTGTACCACATCATTGTACTACTTGAGTACAACTAGGAAGTCACTCTTCAGTTGCTTTATTTGAGTGTACATGGCTGTCAATAAAGATTCATTTCATTTTCATCCCAACACTACCAGCAATTTACCCCAAGCTACAATTTCTGTCACAATGATAGCCTTGAACTGGAAGTGTTACTGCGAGGCAACACCTGACATATTGTTTTGCCAGCACAAGCCTTCACTAAGTCAAAAATAAATATTTCAGTCAAATCTGAGCATGTAAGCACCAATGTTTTCCACAATACCCAACCCCAAAATCCTTGCATGACCATTAGAGGATCCCATACAATCTAATGAAACATAAACATACAACTGAGTAACAAAACAACATTAAGCCTGAATCACTCAACCAGTCATGACAAAAACAATGTATTAAGCCTTTAATTATGCCAGTGAGCCATTTCATATCTATGAATACACAAAAAAATATTACGACAATCCCAACAGAGGGGTTCGTCGTAATTGTTATAGCCTATAAATTGAACAAAAGTGGTCTATACCAGTGCCATGTCAATCGTTTCATGTGCGCAATATTCGTCTCACACCACGCAAAACCACTATATTGCAATTCAATAAAGCTTAAAACCCTCCCGCTAGCCTCGAGCACTCCTCACCTGATAAGTTCCCTCCGGATGCTATATATATCGAGCTGGAAACCACCAATTCCCTACCAAAGCACAAGATGGCGTTCCCCACCACCGCAGAAAAATCTGTGCCCGAACTACGCATGCGCACATCAAGCTCAAATGATTGGTCGTGACGTCAGTAGTTTGACCGGTGAAAGCATTTGGTACGGTAACGCTGCTTTTCGTTCTGCCTTTGCATATATTATGCCCATGACGCGCCCGCAGCCCTCGACGAAGAACGGTCGGCGGTGCGAAGCACGGATTTTTTTTCCGAAACCAGACTTTTCAATGCTTTTTTTCGCTTGTGCTGTTTGCTTAGACAACCTCATAATGGAAACATTCGATAGTTTCTCGAAAACAATGACCAACAAGTACAGGTGCATTGCTGCGTGACGATGCGACGCAGCACCATGGCCAAACCACTAATACTTTGGAGAGCAAACCATTCGCCTGCCGAGCAGAAGTGATGCCTTCGCGAGTAGCTGATAGTTTGGGACAGTGACTCCGCAACGGGGTGCGGATGGCAAGTCGCCCAGGGGACATATATTAACTCGTTGAAGGCTCAGGGAATTTGCATTCATTTAGCAGGGGTGAGCCACAAAGTTGGCGTTGACTGAAAGAATCACTGTGCTTTACAGTCTAA